CGGTTACACCGCCATTTCATCTCAAAAACATTTCAAAAACTTTCTATCTCTTTATTCGGACTTGAAGTCCGGTCAATCTTATCCGGATAACAAGTCCGGTCAGCCTTAACACGAAATTAACATCTTTGTCCGGATTTGTCTTCACTTACAAAGTTAACCGGTTTATATTAAACCGGACGATACATGGCTCAACCTTTAACCGGTTTAAAACATCCGGTCACTATACCACTCAATCTTTGAAACGGTTTAGACAATATCCGGTCACCTCTTGACCGGTTTAGATGATATCCGGTCACCTCTTGACCGGTTTAAGAAAGTCCGTGGACAATACATAAGCGGTTTATTATCCGGATATCAATCCGGACACCACTTGAACGGTTTAAACAAAAACCCACATAAAATGCAACAGAATTCATATTAACCAGTTCCAAATGCTATTAAATTGCATGTAAACAATTTATATCCAAAACTCTTAATAYACTCACCTTTTAGAAATCGAATATCAAAGCTTTTGAATCCTCTTCTTTAGCAATCCTTCTGATTCTTCAGAGAAAAACCTTCTAAATATAGTATGTGTRTATACCTTTTCTTCCCCAACATTTATATATATACCTAACAAAAGGAGGAGAGGTGGTGGGCGGCTCAACCAGCCGACCTCCCCCCTTTTATTTAAAACAAAATTTTAAATTTACCCTTATAAATATTACACACATACATACATACCCGTACACACACACACACACACATATATATATATATAAAAACTTGAAATAACAACCAGAATATTACAATGTTCCCTCCTTAAAAGAATTCCGTCCCGAAATTCCATTAAGTAAACAGATAAGGATATTTCATCCGCATTTCCAATCTGATTCCCAGGTGGCATCTGGTCCCTTATGATAACGCCATTGAACTTTTACTAACCCAATCTCTTTGTTTCGTAACTTCTTTACTTTGTAATCAGTAATCTGTTTAAGCGACTTAGAGTGTGTCTTATACATGTTTCGCCCTGACTGTTTGGGGGCTGTGTTGGTTAATCTTTTTTGTGTGCTGTCCTTCTGGTTAAAGTGACCGTGTTTTGCTGTGCTGCACCATTCTGCTGCCTCCGTGCTATAGTCTGCTGCTTCGTTTTGTCTGCTGGTTGGTTTTTTACGGGTTGCTGCTGTTTGCAGGTTGTTTGCTAGTTTTTAGGGTTCTTGAGTCGGTTGACAATCTGCTGCTGTTTGTTCTCGRTTGGCACTAGAGATTCTRGGTTTTGGCCTSCTATTTTGAACTAAGCTGCTGCTTATTTTGCTGCTGCCRRTTWATGATTTTATGTGCTGATGGTTGTTGMGGTGAGTTTTTTTTAGTTGYGTTCTGCTGTTTCTTTTTGCTGGTSTTTGCTTTAGTTTTCTTGGGRTTGGTATTATATTTTRTTGAAGTTCTTGGGGTGGTTCATTTCCTTTCTTTTCCTAAGTACATTCTAAGTGTTTCYGAGGTCTTYGTTACACTCGTTGAATTCCTTTGATAGATATTCAGCATCTCGGGTTCCGAGGTCTTCGTCTRTTCTATTAAGGGAGCTAAGCGTTTGTTTCWGCACTTCGRCTTCTTAGATAGTACCGGRGAAATGGGGGATGTTTYGGCTCCTTTACCTTCTGATMCTTCCAGAATTTCTGTCTTTGAGAGACTTTCTTCTCTCGAAAACGCTTCGTGTGGGAAGGACAATTTAAATTTTGTGAAAGCGGTAGGAGGTTCAATCGCTACGGATCTAAACTTTTATCCGTTGGCTGATAAAAAGGATGTAAGTGTGAAAATACCTATTGAAATGGCTAAGGAAGCCGCCAAAGCGTTTTAATTCGGTGTTGTATGGGTATTTTTTGGGGCCTCGTTTACCTTTTCCATTAGTGCAAAACTTTGTCAGAACGGCGTGGGGAAAGTACGGTTTCAATGATGCTATGTTAAATGAGAATGGGATCTTCTTTTTCAAATTCAATGATGTAGGGGGTGTGATCAGGTAATTGAAGCAGGGCCGTTAATGATAAGGGGTATCCCTCTTTTTGTTCATCGTTGGGATCCCTCTAAGGGATTGAGGAAACCTGAACACTCCTCTTGTCCCTTGTGGGTGAAATTGCACAATATACCTCTAGTTGCTTTTAATAGAGAGGGTGTTAGCCGTATAGCGAGTGTTTTGGGAGTCCCTAAGCAGATGGATTCTTGTACTGCTGCCATGTGTGAGAAGGCTTGGGGTCGACCCGNACTGCTGCCATGTGTGAGAAGGCTTGGGGTCGACCCGATTTTGCTAAAGTGTTGGTAGAGGTGTGGGTCATTGGGGAACTTAAAAGGACAATAGAGGTTGAAATTCCAAACCTTAACGGAGGGGAAAATGAAAAGGTGCAAATACAAGTTAAATACATGTGGGAGCCGGTGCAATGCTCACATTGCAAAAAATTTGGTCACAAAACTTCGTCCTGTGCAAAAGCTGCTAGTATAAGGAAAGGGAAACAAGTTGATATGAGAAAAGACTCGGAGGGGTTTATTAGAGTGGAGAAAAACAATGGCGTATAAAATCTGGTGGTAAATTAAATCCTTCTGGTACTACGCAAGCTAAGGAGAGTGAGATAAATAGGCCTCATGTTTCGGCTTTGGCAGTGAATTCGTCCAGTTGCGAGCAGGAAATTGTAAGGAATGTGGGTTCCTCTATTGCAGATAAAGATGTGCAACCTAGAAATAATGGAAGGACTGCTTGTGGTGATACAGGTATGAATGCAGGCTCTGGGGCCTCTTCTTCCCAGTCCTGTTCTCATTCCATGTCTGCTTCTACTCCTATTATTTCTTCTGTGATAAAAAATTTCCTTCTTCCTAGACGGGGAGTTATGAAAGACCATGGTGAAACTTCAAACAGATTTGGTGTTCTTGAAAAGTTATGTGAAGAGGGTTCTCAAGTGGATACTCAGGTTGGTACTGATAAAAATCCATCTGCACGAAATGGGAATGAGGATAATGGGGGTCAAGGGGAGGTTCCAAACTCTTTGTCATGTTAAATTTCGCTTCGTGGAATATCCGGGGGCTCAACTCTCCGGTTAAACAAAAAGAGGTGAGAAATTTTATTCATTGTAATGAGTTAAGTTTGTGTGCCATTCTAGAATCGCATGTCTCTAAAGAATCTCTAGAAAGTGTTTGCCATCATTCTTTTGGTCGATGGTATTGGATGTCTAATCAAGCTGTGTGTGAGACTGGAACTCGTATTATTGTAGCATGGGATTCAAGAGCCTTAGATATTATAGTCTTGGAGGCCCATAGCCAATTCCTAAACTGTAAAGTTTTTCTTCGGGGTACTCAAGATTATATCTATCTTTCTATGGTTTTATGGGGCTAATGTTTGTAATACTAGAAGGGAATTGTGGTCGGGGTTGAGGAAATTTAAAGTACTGATTGGTTCTCATCTGTGGGTTGTTATGGGGGATTTCAATTCTATGTTATTTCTGCATGATGGGTTTGGTGGGTCTTCTCGCCGCAATACGGACATGTCAGACTTCTATTTTCGTGTTGAGGATGTTGAATTATTTGATCTTCAACATTCTGGTGTTCATTTTACCTGGAATCAAAAGCCGAACTCTACATGTGGTATTATGCGAAAACTGGATAGGGCTATGGCTAATTCGGAGTTTACTTCTAAATTTTATGATGCTAGTGTAAAGATTCACCCTTCAGGTCTTTCGGATCATTCTCCGGTGGTCTTATCGTTTAAAGGAGGCGCTCGGGAAAAGAGGTATGGTTTTAAATTTGACAATTTCTTGACCGATCACCCGGCTTTTCTTCAAATTGTTAAGGATGAATGGGCTAATCATATTGAGGGTACTTTTATGTTTCGCGTTACCACCCATTTGAAGGCCCTCAAGACTCCTCTTCGGAAACTTCGGAATTCTTATGGTAATCTTGGTCAACGTGTTTCCTTTCTAAAGGCTGAATTAGATCGTATTCAACTGGAAGTTGATACAGACCCTTCTAATGATGAATTAGGTCTTGAACTTGGTCATATTCGTATAGCGTATCAGAATGCGTGTTGGGTTGAGGAATGGGCGGCTAAACAAAGAGCGAAAATTAATTGGTTGAATGAAGGTGATATGAATACCAAATTCTTCCATAAAGTGATCAAAGAGCGGAACTACTATAACTCCATTCATTCGGTTTGCTCTAGTGGTGGTGAGTACTTCTATGGTGAAGATGTCCCGAAAGTCTTTGTTGGTCATTTTAAAGACTTTTTGGGTGGGACGAATGTTTCTTCTGATCCGACTATGCTTGATGCTCTCTTTTTGAGAACACTCTCTTTATCGGATGCAAACTATAAAGCTCCAGGATCGGATGGTTTTTCTTCAAAGTTTTTTAAAGATGCATGGGATATTGTTGGTCGTGATGTGACACTTGCTGTCCACAACTTCTTTTATCGAGGTAATCTTCCCAAGAACTTGAATCATATTCTTATTTGCCTTATCCCGAAATCTGTTAATGCTTCTAGGGTTACGGATTATAGGCATAGCGTGTTGTAATGTGCTTTACAAATGCATTAGTAAAGTTATTGTTAATAGAATGAAGGGATCCTTGGATTCCTTAATTGATAAAGCCCAATCGGCTTTTATCCCGGGTAGGAGGATTATGGATAATATTCTTATGGCTCATGAGCTTGTTTCTGGGTACCAGTTGTCTAATGGCCCACCTAGATGTGCGTTTAAAATTGATATTAAAAAGGCTTATGATACGGTGGATTGGCGTTTCCTAGTTGTTATGCTTGAAGGCTTAGGATTCCATCCAGTTCTGGTAAAGTGGATAAGGGAGATGGTGTCAACCACTTCCTATTCACTTTCACTCAATGGTAATTCCTATGGTTTCTTTCATGGAGGGAGGGGTTTGCGACAAGGTGATCCTTTATCTCCTTACCTTTTCACGATGTTATGGAGGGGTTTTCTATGCTCCTTAAACAATGTATTCTTGAAGCTGCTAAGTTTGGTTACCATCGGGGTTATGAGGAGCAAGAATTGACTCATCTTTGTTTCACGGATGATTTGTTTGTATTTACTAAAGGGGATGTTCTTTCGGTGGAAGTGCTCAAGAAGGCGCTATTTCTGTTTCAATGTCATTCGGGATTAGCACCAAGTCTTGAAAAAAGTGAAATTTACTTTGGAAATGTGCCTTCCAACATTAAGGAGGCCATTCTAGAGTGTCTCCCTTTTAAACTTGGTTCTTTTCCTGTTCGCTACTTGGGGGTTCCTTTATCTCAGGCTCGGTTGAAACTTTGTGATTATGCTCCGTTAATTGCTAAGGTAAAGGGTCGTATTATTAATTGGAAGTCCAAGTTTCTGTCGTTTGGTGGGCGTTGGCAACTTATAATATCGGTCCTGCAATCCCTTCAACTTCATTGGATGTCGGTTTTCTTATTGCCATAAGGGATAATCCATGATATTGAGTCTATTTTTCGGAAATTCCTTTGGGCTCCTAGGGATGATCTGAGAGGTAGATGTAGATTATCTTGGGATGTGGTTTGTCGTCCTTTGGATGCTGGTGGCCTCGGGATTAAGAGGCTGTCTATTTGGAATAGTGCTTTATTGGTGAAACATGTGTGGGATGTAGTGCGGCATCGGGATTCATTGTGGGTTTCTTGGATTTATGGTCAGTATCTTCGTTCTTCTCATTTCTGGATGGTGCGGAAAAGCTCTTATTGGTCTTGGGTTTTTCGAAAACTGTTGGACTTACGAAGTCAATTGCGTCGATTTATGTTTTCCCAGATTGGGGATGGTAGGGCTACAAATGCTTGGGAAGATAATTGGCTATCCTGTGGTCGTCTTTCGGCGTTTATTTCTTATCAAATTGTTCATTCTTGTGGTTTTTCTACTTCTACGACGGTTCGTGATCTTCTTCTGAATTGGAATGGTATATGGCCGGATGATTGGAGTAGTCGGTTTGCTGAACTGTCTTCTCCTTTACCTTTGTTGAATGATTTTGTTCGTGACAAAGTTCTCTGGGGTGAAGATCGTAATTCTGCTGCGGATTTCTTGGTGAGTAATACTTGTACTTTGTTAGAGGGAGATCATCCTGTTGTTCCTTGGCATAAAGCAGTGTGGTTCCCTGGCCATATCCCTAAGCATGCATTCTGTTTATGGCTGGCTTGTCAGGGGCGTCTTCTTACTCAAGATCGTATGCTTTGGAAGGATGAGCCTCCGGATCTGGAATGCTCCCTGTGTAGACAGTGTATGGATAGCCATTTCCATTTATTTTTTCAGTGTCCTTATGCTCGAGAGGTTATGTCCTTATTCCATCTCCTAATCAAGTGGAGGATAAAGTCTGTTGGGTTGATTATAAGGGTGCTCGGGGTGATTTTCAGGTTACTGTGGCTTGGAAGACTTTACAGGAGGTACATCCGGTTGTGYATTGGTATAAACTAGTATGGAACAAAGCTTTCATTCCAAAACATGCTCTTTGTATGTGGATGGCTTGCCAGAAGAAATTGCCAACCCAAGATCGTATCAGTCAGCGGAAGCATGAACCACCGGATTTAAAGTGTGTGTTCTGTAAATTAGTGATTGAAATGCACAATCACTTATTTTTTGAATGCTCTTATTCTAGCAGTATTTGGGAAGGCATTAAAATGGAGGTGGGTTTAACGTCTTATCTTAACAATTGGGAGGATATTCTTCACAGGGGTTCCGTTCAAAATTGGAAATCTTGGTCTACGGTTCAGAGACTTGGTTTATCGGCAACTGTTTATAATATCTGGAGGGAACGAAACAGGAAGTTCTTCGACAATTTCAATCATTCGGAGGATAAAGTTATTGCGGTAATCAAGATGCAGATTCTTCATCGAATGGCTTGGAAGAACAGGAAGAAGATTATGAATTCCAATGACATGTGACTTCGTGGGTGGTGCTCCTTCTCGGTTTTGGTTCTTTTGGGTCTTTCTTGCCTTTTGTATTTTGGCGGGTGGTGTTGTTTTGTTTTGGTGTATTTCCCTTTGTCATTTTTGGCTTCTTATGACTTGGTTTGTGAGTCAAAGTTGCCGTAGTTTCTCTTGCTGACTGTTTTTGTTTTGGTGACGCTTTTATTGTCTTTATAAAATTGCCTGGGGAATTCCTTCCCCTTTCAGTATGGCTATGACGGATATGCCTTCCACGTGGGATCTTTTTATGGAAACAATTTTGGATTCAAATCGTCGTCCGCAACATTTAAAACAGAAGATTGCGGTGGCAGCATCTGTTTACTATATTTGGCAGGAGCGAAATAAACGTCTCTTTACTGGGGAAAGCCGCACGTCTTTGCAACTTGTTAAAGTCATTGATGATGCTATCTCTATGCGTGTGGATTGGTTATCAAGGAGGCTTGTGCAAAGTATTCATTGATATGATGGCTCGTTTTTGGGAGTGGGGAGTTTGGTTTATGCTCCTCTATTTTATTTTTTGTTGTTTGGTTAAGTCTGTTGGGCTTTGTTTATTTTGGCTTGTTGTGGCTTGGTATGTGGTGTTGGCCAAGTCTTTGGGCTTTGTTTTTCTTTGTTGGGTCGTGGTCTAACTTTTGGTGTTCTGTTGTTCTTCTTTATGTTTTATAAATTTGTCTGGTTTCCTTTAAAAAAAAAGGTCTGATCAAACTAAATATTACCCAATTAGTGTCATTTTGACCCGATTAAGAAATGGGCAAATATTGGTATGGAATGGAGGAGAGTTTTTTCTCTCTAGGGTTTGCTTGGTGATGAATGTATGAAGTTGATGATGATGATTTCGATTGTTCTTTGGTGAAGTTTATGCGTTTCTTCTCTTCATTTTCGTTTTGCTTGGTATTATTTCTTGGTTTGCAATTGTGTTTCCTCCCACGGCTGTTTTGTTCCACGATTTAGGGTTCTTCGGTTTTCTCTTGGAGGCGGCTTTAGGGTATACTTCTTTGAGGTTGGTTTTCGATTTACTTTGTGCGATCTCCGTTGTTGTTTCGTTTTCGGTTTTCTCTCTTCCCCATTGTTGGCAATCCGTTTTCCTTTGTGTTTGTTTTGAATCGGCTAGGGTTTTCGTCCCTTCTCTTCTTGGCCGTGTAGTGTCTCGCTCACGGCTAGGGTTTATTCTTGGCTGTCGATTTTTGCATGCTAGGGTTTGAGGCCGTGTAGTGTGTTGCTCACGGAATAGGTTTCTTCTTGGCCGTCGGTTTTTGCTTGCTTGTTGCTTACGGCTAGGGTTTGCGTCCTCTCTTTTGGGTCGTGGTTTTGATCACGGTTTGGTTTTCCTTTAGTCGTTCATTGYTTGYTTGGTTTTGCGTCTTCCTCTTGGTTGTCCTCTTCATAGTGTTTGCGTTCTCCWTTTTTTGGCCGTATTGGGTTTGAAACGGCTAGGGTTTCCCCGTTGCTTGCTAGGGTGTCTTCTTCTTGGCAGGTTAGGGTTTCCTTTTGCTCTCATCTAGATTTCCTTTTCTGGTTCCTCTCTTGGCCGTAGCTTTTGTTTGTTAGGGGTTTGAGCCGTTTTGTCTCTTCTTCGTTCTTGGTTTTTCGTTTGAAGTGGTTCTTTGATAGTTTTTGGCTCCCTTGTCGTTGTTTCGTTTTATCTAGTTTTTCTTATTTCCTGTGTCAAGTGTTTCTGTGGTCTTCGTTGCCTTTATTGAGATACTCAATTGAATATTCAGCACCTCCTTGTGGGTCTTTGTTTATTTTAATTGAGAACGCTTTTTAAGGGTTTCAGCACCACGACTTCTTGACTAGGGATAGGGGGAACTAGGTATTTCTTGTTGTGTGGTAAAAATGGTTGACTTTGCGAATGCAATCTTGGAGGATCCTTCTCCTAAGGATTTTGATGAGGTCATTTTTGGAGATACGGTTTCTGGTGACATGCATGGGAATCATTTGCATGGAGGTGAAAAGGAGGCGACGTTGAAGGGGATAAAGGACAATTCTGGTCCCACTAAAAGGGTTTCGGTATGGGAGCGCATATCACCTGCAGTTTTGGGTGGGAGTAGTTTAGTCCATCAAAAGTCGTTTGTTGAAATTGTTGGTGGCACTTCTAATCATGATTTGACGTACTACCCGGTTGAGAAAAGTGTGAAACCGAGAATTGAATTTTCTTTGGAAACTACGAGGGACATGGCGAAATCTTTCTAGTCGGTTCTTTATGGATACTTTTTGGGACCTCGTCTTCCTTTCCCAATTGTTCTGCATGCGGTTAAAAATGCCTGGGGTAAGTTTGGGCTTATGGATGCAATGGTAAATGACCTTGGGTACTTCTTCTTTCGATTCAATGATAATGGTGGTTGCAATCAAGTGGTTGAGTCGTCCCCACTCATGATTCGTGGGAGGCCTCTTTTTGGCTCTATATGGGACCCTTCAAAGGGACTTAAAAAGCCTGAACATACCTCTTGTCCGTTATGGATTAAATTCTATAATATTCCTCTGGTTGCGTTTAATAGAGAGGGCATTAGCCGAATTGCTAGTGCAGTTGGAGTCCCTTTGCGGTTGGATGCTTGTACTGCTAGTACTTGTGATAAAGCATGGGGTCGTACTAATTTTGCTAAAGTTTTGGTGGATGTCTGGGCCGTAGGTACAATTCAGAAGCAAATTGAAGTTGTCATTCCTAGGCTGTCGGGCGATGGTGAAGATGTGATAAAGGTGGTTTTGGAATATGATTGGGTGCCGTCTCAATGTTTGAAATGTAAAGTTTTTGGCCATAATATGAATTCCTGTCAGAAAGGGGGTACTCTAAAACAAAAGGAGATTGTCAAGCCGCAGCATAATGATGGGTTTATAGAGAAAAAGCGTAAACAATGGAAACCGAAACATAGTTCAGGGCCTAGTAATGGTGCTCAGGCCACTTCTTCAGGAGATCCTTCTAATTTTCATGAAACAATAGTGGGAGTTGGTACTATAAAGCCGGTTTCTGATGAACCGTCTACGTTGGGAGTAAATCAAAAGGATAAGGAAGCAGTTCAGTTGGTTGATTCTGATCTCTCAATTGGGGAACGTAGGGAACATGATGAAAGTCAATATTGTACGGTGGATGCGGGGAGAACGCCAAGAGGAAGAGACGATGTAGCGAATGTGACATTTCGATCAAAGTGGGGTCCAGAACTTGTTAAAGGAGTGATTCAAGCGATGAAACCAAGGCGTGGTGGAGTTTCTGCTACGTCTACTAGTAATAGATTTTCCCCACTACCTTCTGATGACTCTAGTGATGACGATGATATGGAAATAATAGACACTGAGGGACACTCTTTGGATTATAGTAAAGGGGCTAGACCCACTTCAACTTCTCAATGATAAGCGTGGAATATTAGGGGTCTAAATTCCCTAATAAAGCAAAAGGAGGTACGTGATCTTATTTATTTAAAGCATCTGTCTTTATGTTGTATCATTGAGTCCAAAGTTATACATAGTCATATGGGGGATGTGTGTGGTAAAGTGTTTGGAAATTGGAGTTGGATCTCGAATGGGAGCTTGTGTGATCAAGGAACTCGTATTATTATTGTTTGGGATCCGACAGTGTTGTCAGTTCTTAAGATTGAGCAGCACCAACAATATGTCCACTGTGAGATTAGGATTTTTGGGCAACTTGATCCTATTTTTATTACCTTTGTTTATGGGTGTAATACGGGTRTGGATAGGCGTGAGCTTTGGCGGGCGTTTGGTGAATTCCATGTGTTTAATCAAAGGAAAGCATGGGTCGCGATGGGTGATTTTAATTCAATGCTTTTTCCCCATGATGGATTAGGGGGTTCCTCTAGGAGAAATTCTGACATGGAAGAGTTTCATCTCTGTCTGGAAGAGGTGGAATTGTCTGACATTTCGTATCAAGGATGCCAATTTACTTGGATATAGAAACCTTCGGGGGGAGATGGTGTTATGCGCAAACTGGATCGTATCTTGGGAAATTCTGCTTTTATCACTAGATTTGGGGATGCTTCAGTCTACTTTGAACCGAGGGGGATTTCTGATCACTCTCCGGGTATTCTTTCTTTTAAAGTTGGTAGACGTCTTCGCCAGCGGGGTTTTAAGTTTGATAATTTTGTGACTTCTCATAAGGATTTCCTTGCTTCTGTGGAGGAGGTTTGGATGAAACCGCAGAGAGGATCTTATATGAAGAGGGCTCTTCGGAAATTGCAAGCTCTGAAGGTGGTTTGTCGGCGTCTCCGGAATTCGTATGATTGTTTGGATAAACGGGTAGTTCTGTTAAAGACGGAGCTTGATGTCGCCCAATTGGCTTGTGATCTAGACCCTTTTAATGATATGCTAAAGGAGGACATTGCTCACCTCTTGTTAGCATATCAAAAAGCTAGAAGTGATCAAGTGGAAATGGCTCGTCAAAAAGCGAAGATCTCTTGGCTCAATGAAGGGGATGGAAACTCTAAATTCTTTTTTCATGCTATGAAAGAAAAGCGCAATCGGAGCCATATTGCTACTATCAGGGATTCTTCTGGTACAGTTTATGATCATCAGGAGGTGTCCAGAGCATTCCTTTCCCATTTTCAAGGTATTCTAGGTGCCTCTAATGTCTTGGTTCCTCCCTCTATGGGGGATTGTGTGTTTGGTCATTCTTTATCGTTATCGGATTCTCTACACTTAATCCGTCCTATCTCGGATATGGAGATAAAGGATGCTTTGTTTGCCATTGGGAATGATAAGGCCCCAGGACCTGATGGGTATTCTTCTAAATTCTTTAAAGCAGCTTGGAATGTGGTTGGTAGGGATGTTCTCACTGGGATACAYAATTTYTTCTATTCTGGAACTTTGGAGTATSARCTGAACCATACTCTYCTTTGTCTTGTGCCAAAGGTTCCTAATGCTTCTTGTGTTACTGATTATCGGCCAATTGCGTGTTGTAATGTGTTGTTGAAGTGTATTAGTAAGGTTATTGCTGATCGGATGAAAGGATCGCTGGATGTTCTTGTTAG